AAGCCCTCATGCCCTAGCCCTGATACCTCCAAAGCAAGAGCCTCCTCCCACACCTCAACACTTTCCGCACCTCAACACTCTCCTCCTCAGTCCCTCTGAATCCCACACTTTAGTCCAGGGTTGGGCAAGATACATCTCACAGGCCGCTTCCATCCCGCCGAGTCACCAGATCAGACCCTCAGTCACACGGCAGCTGCTGTTTTAAGCGGAGGACTGCTCTGTGTTAGGGATGTTACATTTAGATTATTTGGCTATTTGAATAGTCGATGCAATTTTCATCGACTATTTGATTAGTGAATAAGGGCGCCTACACCTTTTAAGTGTAGCAACAGACCAAGGGCTATTGCTACACTTCACTGGCAAAAGTGCTTCGTGGAACATGGGGCCAGCTGGGTACTTAACCAGTCTCTGAATGACCTTGTACTCCTCAGGGCATTTCAAAGCAACAGAGCCACAGAGAGCCCAGAATCAGCAGGGGAGTACCCAGCTGACCCTGGGCTCCATGCAGCGTTGCCACTTTGAAACGCCGCATGCAGCCCGGGCCCAGCCATGGATTTCGGCTCCACATGGTGTTTGAAAGCATCAGACCCCGGGTTCCATGTGACGTGCTGCTTTGAAGCTTCCCCTCCTCTTTCCCACCTCCTGGCTGCCTCTTAATGATAGAGGCAGCAAGGGGTGGGGGAAGCAACTGGTCGAGTAGTTGAGTAGTTGTTCACATTCCTACTCCATGTGGCTCTGTCTTCTGGAGGGAGGAGGAAGCTTCATGTGATCGCCCCACCCCCAGCCCAATCCTCAGCTTCTATAAATTGGGAACAACCAGCCAAAAGGATTTGAGAGATTGGCCGAGGGGATGGGGTTAGCAGAAACCTCTCTCCCTCTCTTGGGGCTGGGAGTCACATGGAGGGAGCTGCCTGCAGTTTCAAGTGGTCTGGGGCTGCATCAGGCAGAGAATCCAGCCTGCCTTGGGTGTGCTGTAGGGCTGCTGGCCAGCAGATGCATAGGTAAGTGCCTCCCAGCCAAAGCCTCCTCAGGGACCCCGAGCCTCCTGCACTTCAACTCCCTGCCCCAGTGTCAGCCAACGGTCAGGGCAGTGAGTGGTGTGTGTGTGTGTGTTATACACCCGAGACTTCAACTGCTGAGACCGGGGTCCCTTTGCAGCAGGCATCCTGGAGGAGGTTGACGGGCACCCCGACAAGTTTACAGGGAGAGCTTATTACACCTCAGATTTTTACTGATCGGATACACGATCCCTTTGCAGCGTGCAGCCTGGGGAGGCTGAGAGATGCCCCAACGGATCTGTCCCCTGAAAGCGACACGATCCAACACTCAAGATCTCCCTATACCTGTCCCTTATGACCAGCTGAAGTTCTTTTAAATTGTGCTTGGTTCTGTTACAGCAACTGAAGGAGTCAGGTTAAAGCTTAAACAGTTACTATTTTATTGTTACAGGGTAAACTTAGTTGTTAAATGCTACTACTGTGTTACAGATAACACAGCCACTACAAAGGACAGGACAAAAATTACACTAATAAGTCACTTACAGGTACCATGAAACCCTTTTGGTTCTCTGAGCTCTTATTAAATGCATGCAAAATAGACACCTAGCAGGTATATATTCTCACCCCTGCATTCCAGACATGGCGTGGCCAGTGTCTTTCTCTCAATCCCTCGGGAAGAAGTAGGGCGAGGTTGGGCGTCCCACAGACCTCGGGAGACAATCAATATCTGCCAGCAGGTATAGATGATTGGAGCACAAATGGGGTGGGCTACTAAGCCCCTCTTTATACGCCTTGAGTCATGTAGGCTTCTTTCTGGTCTCAAGTGGCCAATTAGGAAAAATGGCTTTGAACACCAAGTTTCCCACGAAGGGTGCAAAGCATAATTCACACCTGGGAAAATGCAGACAATGGGCACCTCTGGTAGGTGATGGGCGAAGATTCCTCTCCTGAGACAGTGCAGGCGTGTCAATTACTGGTACTAGCTATCAGGACGGCGGGAGGCCCTGGGTCGGCAGCTAGCCCATTTACTGTCTGGTTTCTGTTTATGGTAGAGTCAGGGACAGGCAGCAAACCTGCGTTCCCAGGGCATCAAAGGCTGACTGCCTTTCTCTTGCTCTCTGGGGGTGGGGGGGAAACAAGATGGGGCTCGTGGAAAAACAAGATGGGGTTTTGTGTCTGGCTACAGGCTCCCAAAACTAGAGTTTGGGTTCCTATGAGTAGGGCTCCTCATGCTAGTGTTAGCGTTCCTATGGGGAAGGCACCCG